TATTATTAGAAAAAGTTAATGAATGGAATTCATTATAATTATGACGATTTGCATTGTATGATTTACGGTAGTAATTACGAATTTTAAAGAAAATTTGATAGTTAAAATGAGTTAAATTCTTTAATTGGTGAAAAGACATGCAAATTTATTTGATAAAGTGACAATTCATTCATTATTATTAGAAAAAGTTAATGAATGGAATTCATTATAATTATGACGATGATGTGATGTGATGTGATGTGATATGATATGAGAGTGATGAATAATTAATTTTTACTTCAGCAGTGCAATTCATCTAAATTATAAAAGACTGATGCGTGTAAAATGCGTGCGTGAATAGTTATCACTTTGAATTAACGCAGAATAATATATGCAAAAAGTAATTCTAATAAAATCTTCAATGCGTTCTTTTTCAGACAAAATGTTATTTACTGAAATATAATTCAAATTGAAAGCTTTATGCATACTTTCAGTACTGTTTGCATTCGAAGTGCAATACTTTATGGATGCATTCATATATATATATTTGCAATTAACGTATTTTGAGACTAAAAAAGATATAAACTAAACAAATAATCTATGAATAATAATTAACAAGTGAGTGCTTGCACATAGTTTTAATTTGAAAAGCAAAGCATAGCTATTTATTGCTGCGCAGTTATTAGCACACTTTAATTTTTCTATTTTATAGTTTTTTTACAGTACACTTTAATTCACTATTTTATTTAACATTCTAGCACAAGTTTTATTAATAATAGATTAGTAATTATTGTTCTACTAATACTAAATTAGTGATGAGATGAATATTTATGATATCATTATTATTATTATTATTATTATTATTATTATTATTATTGTATATATATATAAATATAAAAATTATACATGTTGTTATTTTTGAGCAAGAAGCTACTTTTAATAATAAGTAAATATCAACTTATAACTGTTTGATTACTTTTGAAATGAAGAGATGAAATCAAAAAAGCCAAAGCAGTTATTGCAGCACACTTCTGTAAGTCAGAAAATGTACAGAATTTAGCTGAATTGACATTTTATCGTTTCTGAAGTAAAAATTATTTGCTTTCTTCCGTAACGAAAGCAAAGCATTCAAAAGTATTTGTGATAAATGACAACGGCAAGTTTGCTCTTTGTGTTATTTTCGTTGCTTTTTATGCATTTATTCTTATTTTGAAAATGAAAAGTGCTCATTTTTCTATTCCGTTTGTTTTCTCTTTCTCTTTCCACGCACAATACAAAAATTATCAAAGCGAACTCAACAAATGATCCATCAGTTTTCACAAAGTAGCATCCTTTGAAATAAGCCTAAAACTGTGCAACTAATCAGACTAATCTCTTCCAAAATCTCAACATTACTACAATTAATTTCTACTGAATTTTATCAGTACTCAGTAAGTGCTAATTTTTGCACTTGTTTCTAAGCATTCCATCCCTCTAACATCAGTATTCCATTAATAATTTTTATTTTTGTGCAAAGGAAAACCATGTTACAGCTCAAAATGGGATTATCACACTACTTGATGTAATCTTCAAATTTAAGTTAACGAATAATCAAATATTTGAATCTTTAAGCTTAGAGATTCAAATATTAAGTTTAAATATTTGAATATTTAAGTTTAAGTTCAAGTTTAAAATCATTCAAATTAATTCTGCTAAAACCAGGAAAAAAAGCAATGCAAACTGTACATAAAAGTGATACTTCACCATCATTCGTATCACATAGTTTGCCTGGTCCTAATGTGTTGCATAGAGGCTACAAAAAAATGCAATGCTTTTCTAGTGACTCACACATGACTAAGCACATCGGCATTTTATTTTATTTTATTTTATTTTGTTTTATTTTGTTTTATATTTCAGAGTTGATTACTCTTCATTACTCTCATGAAGTTATCATTTGGTATCACCTTTTAGTAGCTTACTCAAATATTCATGCTAATGCAATTTTTATAACTGTTTTAGGCGCATATAAAAGCATACCGGAGTCAGTTATCGATTCATTTTCTTATTTTGAACGAAATTTTCTGAAATGTCTTTAGATAGTAAGTTCTCTTATTAAATATTCACTTCATCTGTAAGAATTAACTCTGTTTTTGATTTTATCTTTCTTGATTTACCAAAATTTACATCCAAAAATTCAGCTAAAATTTTGTATGATTTTGTTTTTGACTGAAAAGTAAAACGTCACAAATGATTGAATTAATTATTACAGTATGTTGCTTTCAAATACCTTTATCATTACTCTGTTGAACTCACACAATTTTCTGTGCTTTCATCGAGAGTTTTGTAATTAATATCCATGCTTACTGTAAATTATTTGTGCTCAATTAAGCAAAAAAAAGTTTTCAGATCATCTATTCAATTTGAAATTTGCTTCTAAAGAATTACAACGAAATGCGAAAAAGTGTGAAAAAGAAGAAAAAGCAGAGAAGACAAAATTAACAGCTGCTATAAAGGTGATTTTACATTCGTTAATAATTTTTTATCATAAGTTATACTTCTTATGGCTAATGAAATATTCATTCCTAAGCAGTAATGACCATTTGTAACCTTACATTGATTTCTTGCACAAAATTCCATTCCTGCCTATCTTCTTTTTAGTACGATTTCATTTTAATACCGTTTATAGAATTTATTGGATTATTTGACTATCTTTATATTATTTACTAACGTTTATTTTTGGTATGATTTGCTTATTATCACAGAAAGGTAATATGGAAGTAGCTCAAGTACATGCCGAAAATGCTATACGTAAGAAGAACGAATCACTAAATTACTTGAGGATGTCAGCACGAATTGATGCCGTAGCAGCGCGTGTACAGGTTACATATTTCACTGTTTTGCAAGGTCTAGATTTAATTTACTATTAAACTGTGTATTCTGTTCATGATAGCGTCACTAAATCTTACTGTAAAACTCAATACTATTAAAAAGGGACTGCTGGACAAAACTTAATTTGTGCTTCTAAGTTTTTGGTTACTTTGTCGCTTTATTTTAATTTATACATCATAGAAGTTATTAAAATAGATAAAATTAAAATTTTTAAGACTGCAGCCACACAAAAGCGCGTAACTCAAAGTATGTCTGGTGTAGTGAAAGCAATGGAATCAGCTTTACGTTCTATGAATCTGGAAAAGGTGCAGAATTTAATGGATCGTTTTGAGAAAGATTTTGAAAATTTGGATGTACAATCTGCTACTATGGAAGGTTCCATGACAGCTACGACTACGTTGAATGCACCGCAGGCTCAAGTCAACGCTCTTATACAAGAAGCAGCGGATAAAGCTGGGTACGTTCTTATGTGATTTTATGGTGAATTTAGTAGTATTATGTATCTTAAAACGATTTCTACTTGAAAAAGTTTTGATAAAAAATAAATCTAAAATTGTAGATCATCAGTTAATGATATACCTATAAATTATGAAAAATGAATCCAAAATTGTTCAATTTTTTCATTCACTTTTAATAAAAATTCCTTTGTCTATTTTCATCCAAATTCATTTTAAGTACACTTTTAGTATGTCGGTTTTATTTGGAGTCTTATAGGATTATATCTCTCTATACAAAATAATTTATAGGTATAATATAGATGTTATTGTCATATTTGCAGCTTGGAATTAAACTTGGAAATGCCAGCTGGTGCAACTACAGCGCTTGGTGGTAAAATTTCTGCCTCGGCTAAGGAAAATGATGAATTAACTCAACGCCTTGCAGCATTACGACAAAATTAATGGTTATTGTAAACTTGAAATGTATATATTCAAGCACAGTTAAACTTCGGTTTTAGTAATATCATTTTTCTGAGTGCATTTTTTTTCAAATTTAAATTTGTTAAAATTTGGGTTTTAAAGTTTATTTACAATTAATTATCGATGTACGAAGGTGCTTTCTAGTGCGTGACTGAGTTGAGAAGGAAATAATTTTTAAAGTTTTCATGTAGTTTTTAAAGCTAATAGCAGATACCTCTCTTTCAAAATTTGGCTGCTGGCAATAAATATTTTATCAATTCAAACAATCGGCACTTTCACTTTTTCGCAATATGCTTTGTAATGGAAGATTTTTCGGACTTTTTTTGAAAATTATTTGTTTTCATAATGTATAGTTGTATCATTTGTGATCGCTTCTCTACGTGTTTCTGAAAAATTATTTTTAAATTTGCTTTCAAATATTTCTACGGCACTCACTTGCCATTATAATATGAGTAATCTCTTCTTACAATGATTTTAATACAAGAATCAGCGCCAGTGATTGATACAGGCTTATTTGTTATTCTATGATGCAATGACGTGTAACTTTTAATGTTCGCACAATTTGGAGTTTTCTATCCCTATTTGTTGTTCAGCAAATATTTTTGTTAATTTGAAAAACCGCTGAAAATAATGTTTTAGAACGTTTCACTCGTATATAGGATAAGTGCTAATAATTCTGCTGGTCGAATGAAGATTTGAATGTAAAGTTGTTATATTTTCCAAAAAATAACAAATTTGATTGCATGCAGCCAATTCATATTATTTTCCGGAATAGCTGTCGTTCCTTTCCATATTCAGGGATTCTAAATATTGATATAGTTATGGTTTGCAAAAAGGGTTTGGAAAGATTAGTTTTGTCATGTTATGTTGATTAGTCTGCACCATTTCTTTGAATATGAAATTACCAGATGAAGATGTGTCATCTTTGTCATCACCATCATTATCATCACCATTACTATCATCATTGTTATCGTCATCATCACTATCATCAGTAACTATCTGCAATTAAAGAATTGAAGTAAGTTGAAAGATGAATTTACGTTGTTCTTTTAGACGAAATGAATTTTATAATTTAGGTGATGTTTGGGGAATAATATTTGCAGTACCTTTAATCTTCGTCCAACTGTGATACACTTTGCTAGCAGATCATTTGCTTCAGCTAGTAAATCCGCTCGATCAACATATTTTCCATCAACCTCAGCTTCGATAGTCCAAGGTAATCGTTGAAGAGTTTCTACGGATTCATGAACCAATTGCAATATTTCCTTGAACTAAAGATAACCAAAATATTCTTTTGTGAGCAACTTTTGTTTGTACTGATTTAATTTCAGTTTTAAACGAAAATTCGTTTTAGGAACATAAAGAAGTAAAATAGGTATGCAGTGAGTTTATCAGGATTTCTCCCAGAAGAAAGCTATGCGCAGCAGTTTTACTTTTTATTAAAGTGTTATATCTAATTTAGCTGATATGAATTGGCTTCGGAATAATTTCTTTCCATTTTGATCTATCTTATCTTTACGGTTTTTTCAACTCTTTAGGACTAAAATATTAACATATCTCGTTTGATCTATAAAGCATGATTAAAAGTGTGTAAACAGAATGACCTCGGTATGTTCCTTTGGAACAGAATCATTGAATTGCAAATTTGGTGTAAGCTGCAATACTTTTTAGCTTTCACTCGTTATCTGATTTCATTCGAAAGTTCACTACTAGAAGCATGTCTACATAATTTTAATTTTAAGTTATTTGCAGTCAAATCTTGAATTCAAACTTTCTCATAAATTACTATTTTTAAACTCTTCAAACTCAACCAAAACCAATGAGAATGGATTTGGCTCTAATGATTTTATAGAAAAACTTCAGTTTTAAAGTAGTAAGATCAGTTTTTGAATTTAAATATAAGTGTTGAAGTGGTCATTGTATGATCCATATATCCATAGATGTATAAAAAGTAAATATCGATGTAGATTTAAATCTTACTTAGCATTTCACATTTTGCAAAAAATTTTACCGAAAATTGATCTGTGTTATATGCAGTTAAATCTTCAGATTTTTCGACAAGAATTTCTTCTGCTTCATCAAGTTCATTCTTACTTGTAATCATCTTAAATTGTAATGAGCATGCTTTAATTGAGCAGGTTACAGTAGGCTTATTTTTATTTTCAGTCTGTGATCAAAAATGAAAAGCTAAAAAGAAAACGAGTAGTAATTAGTAGTCTGACTTTGTTTTATCAAGATAATTGTTAATAAACAAGCAGTTGCTTATGTATAAATTCTGAAAGTGCTACTAACCGTAGATTCAATATCATTAAAATGAACTTCCGATAGATAGCATTTTGAAGCTTCAATGAGCGCTCGTCCAACGCGCTGAATTTTTATCTCTTCACGTTTTTTATCGAAACAGCAATTTGGTTTTATTTTTACCACTTATAATTCTTTTCTATTTCATTTTGTATAAGTGTTTTCTAATTTGATATGTTTTTTGTTTAGTTGTGTTGTGTATGTTTTTATTTTTATATTTCAGTATATTATATTTTTTTACACTATTTGTTTAATTATGCGATTTTGTTGATGACGTCTGAAAAGACTTATTTGAGGATTATTGTATAATTATTATTCACTGTTACTTATGTCATATATATTGTTCAAAATAAATGTCTCAGTTATGTATCGTTCAAAAAATATGAATCAAATCATTTTCAAGTTTCTTTCGTATATTTGTGAAACAAAACTTATTTTTGACTCTGATTCTTATTCAAAAATTTCAGTTATTTATAAAAAGAATTTGATAAAATTGAACAAAACTGTTAATACTTTATCGAAGAATAAGTGTAAGTAAATGAATTTAAGTGAATTAAAATTTCTTCTGTGAAGTTTTTTGTTCAATAATGCAATAAAAATTTAATAATTACGTTGAGGGAATTGAATTACTTGAAGGAATATGAGATCCCGTTCTAATTTATCTATCATTTGTCGAATGTCTTGAAGGTCTACAGAGCGAGTGTTGCTATATCTTGCCAAATGCTCATTATAATGCTGATACATATTCTTCAAAAATTCAATTCGTTGTTGAAAATTACGACGAATATTGCAAATCCGATTGTACAGCTGAATGCAACTTTTTTGTAAGCAAAAGATAACGTGAAGAATAGTGAAGAAATGTGATTGGAAGTTCGGAAGAGTACATGACATTAGCTGCAATTTGGCTTCTTGATAAAGTTATCCTATTTCTATAGTTTGGAATCAGATATTTTATTTTGTCTTAACTGCTAGAAACTTGAAAGATGGATTAATTAGTGACTACTGGTACTCTGAAAGTAAATTGGAAAAATTGAAAACAATGAAATTGCAATTTTCTCACTATTACTGTAAATGATTTACCACGCAACTCAGTGGGAATTTTAAAGGCTGAGTAATGTGTACTTCTGTTATGTATTTTTGCTTATTAATTCTAAAATACTTCATAATCTAATTACATGTAATACTCAGTATGTTTTGTGATCGAGAATCAAGTTATCTTTTTTTGTAATAAATTTATAATATTATCCTATCCTTATGAAATTACTTTTTTGAAGCGATGATCAAAATCTGAATTAAATCTGTGCAATTCGGACTCAATTGCTGCGTTTAATTCCGCTTGGCGTTCCACTGCCGCACGTGCCTACAACGTATATTCAAATTCAAACTAATTTCTGATAAAATTACAGGATCTAAGTATCTTAATTAAAAATAAATAGTGAATAATTCTGAATTAGAATCACTTGTGCAAATCAATGGCTAATAGAATAATTTAGTTAAATACCTATATATATATATAT